TGTATGTATGCATCCAAATGCAATACACAAACTTGACTTCTATAAAGCTTTTACATACATACCACCAAATTCCTCTATATTTAAATATCTAACACCTATACTTTGCTTTTTATATTTATGCCACCCAAATATTTCATATTACATCAAAATAGTATCTCGTTAACTTTTAAAATGTGAAATACAACTTTTCATGCATATGTAAGGTGGTATGCAAGTAAAAATTGAAATTTAGGTGTTAAATATGTAAATACATAAGAATTGAGTAATATGTATGCAGATACATAAAAATGGAAGTTTACCTAAGAAAGAAGTGAGAAGATGTGAAAGAGAATAAAATATATGCCTGTGTCAGCACAATATTTTTTACTATAAAATATTAAATATTCATAATACATGCAAACAAAGAAAAGTAGAAATTTCATAAAATATAAAGTATTTTTTATTGTTGGTTTCTTGAAATGAGAAAGAAGAGAAAACTTAAGAGAATTGCTTTAGATTGAAGGAAAAATTAGAACCACTCTATTTTTGTGTAGCCTTACAAATATTTAAAGCTTGGAGCTAATAACAAACTTCCAAGAAAAAGACCTAAAAATCAGCCAAGAAAATAACAAGAAGCAAAATCAAGAAAAATAGCAACTAACTCATAAGATTAAGGAACAAACTTGACTCAATTAAACCTAGACTCAATAAGCAGCCCTAAGCATGAATTCCAACACTCCTTGCTTTAGGAGCTGCGAACACGAAATTTCTGCCTTATAAACTTAAACTTGCTGATTGGAAGTGACTTTGTAAACAAATCTGTCAACTGAACTTCAGATTTGCAGTAAACCAGAGTCACAAATTTTCTTTCTGCACTTCTCTTAGAAAAAATAACTTGATGTTGAAATACTTAGTTTTCCCATGAAACACAGGATTATAGAAAATGAAAATGACAGCATGATTGTCAACAAAATTCTCAGTGTTTTCTTTTTGCTCCAGATTGAGATCCATTAAAATTTTCCTCAGTATATTGTCATTCTTCCTCTTGGGAGAATCATCATCTAAGTCGTCGGAGAAAAGGGAGCTTAGCAGCTTCCCAGGGACAACACCTATTCTCATCAGTGCTTCTTGTTCTGCAGCTTTTGCTCTTTAAGCATCCAATATAGCTGCAACATAATTCTCCTGATGCTCCCTGTCTGTCTTGAGCTTCGATTTTAGTTGTTCATTCTCACCCATAATGCTTTGCAGCCGTGTTTCCTTATCCAAGAGGTTTGTTTTCAGTTCTGTGACTTCTATAGTAGCTTTTATCATACTCCTCTCCGAATTAAATTGACTGCCATTGCCTTATCCATTTCATCTTTCAATTCGTCATTCATTTGCAACATGGCTGGGAGTTCTGTTTCCATACTCAAAAGGCGAGCTTTCAACTCTAAAAGTTCTACAGTTGATTTTTGTAAGGTTGACTCCAATTCGAATTCCCTCATACTTGCATCAACTTTCACATGCTCAGTCATCTCAATTGCTGATTGAATCTTCATAGTGCTTTCAATTTGTTCCTCGTGCATTGGATTAAGTGAAAAACTCCTCCCTGCCATCTTAACTTCAAACATCTTTTGGCCTGTAATCCTCTATTACACAAGCCTTCTCCATAAACATCACTTTGAATCCCTTTTCTATTAATTGACCAACACTGAACAAGTTTTGATCAATATCTGGTACATAGAGAACATCGGTGATCAATTTGGTTCTTGAACAGCTTGCAATGGCTACGGTGCCCTTTCCTTTAACTGCAATATATTCACCATTCTCAATTCTGACCTTCTTGAACTCAGTGCTCTTCAATTCCTTGAACAACTTCTTGTCATGGGTCATATGATTAGTGCAACCACTATCAATGAGTCAATTTTCACTTGTTTCATAACTCGTGAAACAAGTTGCAACGAAAAACTGGTCATCTTCTTATTGATCTGCCACTCGTGCTTCATCTCCTTGCTGCTGATCTTTATTCTTGCAAATGATAGTTTCATGTCCCGTTTGATTGCACTTGCTGCACTTTGCATCTGGTCTTCTCCAGCATTTGAAAGGAGATGACATTTCTTGCCACAATATCGACATGGAGGTAATCTTTCTTTTGTCCACTTGTAACTTGAAACTTCTTGTTCTTGGGCATCCTATTCTTTTCATCATCTTGATGCTTGACTGAAAGAGCTCCTTCGACAGCTCCTTCTTGCCTCATTACATGCCTCTGCTCTTGTGCTTGTAAAGCACTTAAGAGTTCTGTCAAAACAATCTTTGACAGATCCTTCGTGTTTTCTAAGGTGGGGCAGCCTCAAATCTTTCGGGCACTGCTACAAGAATTTTCTAAACAATCATTGAATCTTCCAGAGAATAAACCAATAATTTGACATGATTTGCTATGTTGAGTAGTCTGTCAGAGTACTCCTTTATCTGTCAGAGTACTCCTTTATGGTTTCTGTCTCCTTCATCTTTTGCAATTCAAAGTCACAAACCAAGTTTAGCACCTGCATATCTCGAATTCTTTCATCTCCTTCATACTCGGATTTGAGATAATCCCAAATCCCCTTTGTCGTTTTTAATGACATGATACGAGTGAAGATTATGGGGGAAACTGCAGCAAACAGGCAAGCTTTTGCCTTGGACTTCTTTGTCTTCTTCTCCTTTTATGCTTTAATTTATGCTACGGTGAGATTTTCAGAGAGAAGAGGAATGTCATAGTCTTCTTCCACTGCTTCCCAGAGATCCAAAGCTTCCAGGTATGTCTCCATGCGGACAACCCAAATCCGGTAGTTGTCTCCGTCAAACACTAATGGAGCAACTGAGGAAAAACTAACTTCGATCTCCATTATCGCTCAAACTCATGCACAGATCCCTTAAGAAGAGAGCTTTGATACTAAATTGTTGGTTTCTTGAAATGAGAAAGAAGAAAAAACTTAAGAGATTTGCTTTAGATTGAAGGGAAAATTAGAACCACTCTATTGTTGTGTAGCCTTACAAATATTTAAAGATTGAAGCTAATAACAAACTTCCAAGAAAAAAAGCTAAAAATCAGCCAAGAAAATAACAAGAATCAAAATTAAGAAAAATAACAACTAACTCCTAAGATTAAGGAACAAACTTGATTCGATTAAATCTAGACTCAATAAGCAGTCCTAAGCATGTATTCCAACATTTATAATGTATATAATTTTAATTTTTTTATTATGAAATATTATATAAATAAAAAAAATTATACATAAGATTATAAAAAATATATGATATATTAACAAAAAAATAAAACTTTTGCATTCCATCTACACAACCAAACAACTTGTAAGTATTCATAATACATTATTTTTACTTTACTCTGCATTTATCTAATCAAGCAGAAAAAATAATTTCCTAGTACTTTCTTTACAAATAACCAAACAAATTTTGAATTTCAGAGCATACTATAATCAGAACACTCTTGCACTCCTTTTTTACAGTGCATTCCTTTTCAACAAACCACACAATCCCTAACCCTTACAGGGCTGAACCAAATAAAGCACCCAATCAAACCGAACTAAATAGACATCCATTTCGAGAGTTCCACCCAAACAAAAAAGTGACGAGAGAGGCTTCTCGATCCCAAGTGAATGAAAGGCAGAAGCAATCTAGAAGCGATTCCAAGAGCAAGATTCTGAGAGGATTTCTTTCATATCTTCGGCCAAGAGAAGTGAGTTGAGGGAGGCAACAGAGCAAACAAACATTTCGGCTGCTTCTTCCTCCCTTCAAAAAGACTAAAAAAAAGTTTTAAGTTTTGGCTAATTGAAACTTGATTCTATTTAGTCGTCATGTTTGTAGCATAGAACTTTAAACATAAGTTTTGCTTGATAAAACCACATAAAAGTCTGGTACGTTGATGCCTAGCCTAAAGCCAATTTTGTCTTTTGTGCAACTAAGGGCAATTTAGTCTTTTAGCATTTCTTTCTGTTTAGTATAAATCAGGCTAATATGTTTAGGGTTAGAGTTATACATAAAATTAGAGTTGTGTCTTAATTTTATGGTTTGAGAGAGATTTCATATCTCTTGAATTGTATGAATTTTGAGAGATTGCCTACCTTTCAAATTGTAGATATTTATCCATTATTTTATATGCGTGTGGTTGTATTATTTGCTTTGGAGAAAAAAAATCTTTATTTTGACCTAATTTCTATAGAGAATCCTATCAAATTATTCCAACATGAGGGCATAGCATATTCTGAGAGGGGAATATTGTTACGCCGATGCTTAACCTAAGGACAATTTGTCTTTTGTGTGTCTAAGGGCAATTTTATCTTTTGTCATTTATTATTGTTTAGTATTAATATGACTAATATGTTCAAAGTTAGGGTTGGATTATTGTTGTGAGTCTTACGTTTAGTGTTTGGGGATATTTTCTTCCTCTTGAATTATATGAATTGGGAGAGATCGCCTACCTCTCAAATTGTAGGTGTTTATCATTTATTTTAATTGTTCATGATTGTTTGCTTTGGAAAAATAAAAATATTATTTTGTCCTAATTTCTACGGAAAATCCTATCAAAGTATTAGTTTTATAAGTCAATGTTTGGATCTTGGATCGATTAAGGTTTTAATCATAACATCTTCTAAATTTAAAATTTAGATAATGATGAAGCATAAACTTACTCTATAATTCTTCTTTCCTCTTACAACTTTTAACTTTCAAACAGAGCTCACCATGCAACAAAAGTTGTGAAAGGTTACAAAAAATCTTAGATTGCAGGCATCAACTTCTAAACAACTATTCATTCGTAAACTCCATGCATAGCTTCGTTAATTAGACATTATAAAACAGCAAGATTTAAAATCGCAAAAATTATGTTTGGCAGAATTGAAGCTAAATCACGCTAAAATACTTCCTAAAACAGCAAATCAAACAGCCCCAACTCATCGCACAATATCAACAAATAAAAAAAATCAGCCCATCATCAATTGGACCAAAATTTTGTTATTCATAAATCAAATCACAGAAAAAAAATATCATCCAGTATTTATGAGAGTGAGTTTATCTGGAAACTCACGAGGATATTGAGCTTCCCACCAAACGTGGAGGACACCCTCTGGATCAAATCCACCCGCTGCTCCCGAACAGAGAGGTCGCAAACAGAGCCAGAAACGCGAAACCCTAACCCCTCCCATTTCTTCAAGCAATCATTGAGCTCCGATTCTTTCCGGGAGCAGGTGTAGACCACCGCTCCCAGGGCCGCCAGCTCCTCTACTATCGCATTACTGATCAAACAAACAGAAAACCAAAATTACAACAATGTGAGGAAGATAGATTGAGAGACTCACACACAGAAAAGAAGAGAGAGAGAGAGATGGACCCGATTCCTCTTGTGCCTCCCGTGACAAGAGCCGTCATTCCCCCCAGCGACCATCGCCCTGCTTTACAACTCTTTCCTTGCTCCGCATCACCCATAACTGAACTGCCGCTGCTGCCTCCCTCTCCGTCTCATAAAAATTTACATACAAACATTTAACATAAAAATACTATAAAAATATATTATCTTAGTAAATCTTAGGTTGTACGCCACCATAATTTGATTGGATAACTAGTATTTTAATTTGGGCCAGAATTTAAGATTTTTAAACTCTCAAATTTTAAGATTCTTTTCTAAACCTCGCTTTGAACTAAAAGATTTAAAAATAACGAGCTTTTTTGACAGCCCTAATTGTAGGCCACCATAATTTGATTGGATAACTAGTATTTTAATTTGGGCCAGAATTTAAGATTTTTAAACTCTCAAATTTTAAGATTCTTTTCTAAACCTCGCTTTGAACTAAAAGATTTAAAAACAACTTTATGATTTAACATTTACCGAAAATAGGATATCCGAATTTCACACGCGCGCGCGCGCACACACATACATATATAAACATTAAACACACACACACATACATACATACATACATACATATATATTTCTATATACTATATATACATTCATATACGTCCATATCATGATCAAGTATTTTTTGGATTGCCTTATGTCTTTTAATTAATATTTATCCCACAATATCTTGATTGTATTACAAACAAAAATACAAAAAAAGAATTACTTTTTACAAATAAAATCATAACTCTTGTTCTGCCTTAGATTCCTTGCTTAACTCAGATAGTATCATAGATGAGGGTTAATGTAGTGGAAATGAATGCATCTATATACTATAAAAACTTACTATGATTACTATCCAATTATACTATCAAATTAATTCTAAGAAAAATTACTAAAAAAAAAAAAAATGAGACAATGTGAATAAATAAAACAATGGATTAGTCCACATCACTAATTATAGGGATCTTACAATGAGACAATGTGAATAAATAAAACATTGGATTAGTCCACATCACTAATTATAGGGATCTTACAGAGTCTTTTCATCCATAACAAGATTCTGGTATGATCATAGAAAATATTCTCCTCAAGCGAATCAGGTTATCCTATTATCCTATGCTATATAAAGGATTGACATGATGTGATGGTTGGATGAGGAGACATATTGGGCTTTGAATTTTAATCTGATCGATAAAATCATATATTTGCACGGGTTAATCAATAGTTCAAGTCACAAAATCCCCTAATTTACCATTTATTAAGGAAAATATACTTCAACTATTCTATTCGTATCAAATAAAAATAACTTTAGAGTTGAATGGAAGTATCCAAATATCATTTCTTATTTTTAAATAATTCATATTTGTAGCAATGAAAGACTCATGTCCCTCCCTGATATGATAAATTATAAATATCAATGATCTGTTGTTTCTATAAAGGACTGAAATAATTTGCTTACGTATCATTAGAAAGTGCATGAACATATTAGATATGTAAATACATATAAATACCTATACCTACACACACACACACACACACACACACACACATATATATATATATATATATATACACACACACACACACATATATCTTCCATGCGCTTAAAAATGCTTGATATAAATTTGTTATTTGAAATCAGCATTTTCACTGAAACAAGTAATTGGTAAGAAGTTTTGGAAAAATAACAATATTTTGAAAAATAAAATATTAAATAATATTGATTTTTGGCTTTTTGTTATTGGTTAAACGAATCTATCATGTTAAAAAATGTGTTTAGAAGGATAAGCTTGTAATAGAGTCGGGTTGAACCCTGTAATTGCTTATGGGATGCTAAACGATAATAGGCTAAAGGAATCGTAAAGGACACTCTAACTTGGTCAAATCATATCAGCCACATGATGTTAAGCACCAAAAAAACAAAGTCATTAACAATATCCACGAGCGCAACATCATTTTGTAATTTCATTATTATCATATCTTTATTAGCTGTATAATTTTATGTGCATCAGAAACACATCAGCATGAATCTCAATGTGATCCAAAGGTACAGCCAGGAGGACTCACCAATAAATGAATAAATAACCCATTAGCGAAATGCCAGAGATCTGTTTAATCAAGTGCAACTCCCCTAAGCTAGTGCTAGAGGGGACTGGATGCAAGCCACCTAGATGAAAGACCGCAACCAATCGAATCGAGCAGATGTTCTTCCTGCCTCTAGTTACAATGTAACCCAAGGGAAAAATTCAACATCCCCAACCACTTCACGGACGCCCTCTGAGACCTTATCGGGAGGGTCATGGATCGGTAATAGCTAGATCCAAGAACATCTCAGAGAACCCTCTCATCAGGATATGAGCTAGTTATTGGATTACAGTGATTCGCCCTCTGTCCGATAGCCTAGCTACATTCTGTCGACTGGAGCTTCTCATCCAAGGATCAGGAGTCAACAGTTATAACAGATTAGTTGGTCGGTGAAGCTGGGCCGACCAAGCCAAGTCCCACTCATCCAAAGTCAGCCCAGGTTCAACCAACAACATTAACCCAGCATAGTTGACTGAGTGGTCTCTACTGAACCGTAGGCTTATATTTGTATAATACCTAAGATATCATGTAACACCCCATTAAAGCAGAGACAAACATGTAATTGCATGTGTTATACCTCCCTCATCTATAAATAGGGAGATTATTTGCTCATAAAGACTAATCAACAATTCATATTAATATTCATAACTATACACCTCTCTCTCTCTCTCTCCCTCCCTCTCCCTCTCATGTCTTACGATGTATTCCTTGGGCGTGATTCACAGAAAATTCGGTTCCCATATTCTAGAAGGTACGATAAGTATGGATCATGCAGTAAGAAGAATAATAGTAGCATAAAGAGAAGAAACCCATTATAGAGACACCGCCAATCAGGAGTTCGTGCAGCAACAAATTTAGGAGTTGAAGGATGAGATTATGAGCACCATCAAAGAAGTATTCGATCGTGGAAGGGAGTACAAACCCCGACAGGAAGCGACAACACCCAACAGCTGAAGCATACCTCTACTACAAGAGAGGTTTAGATCTTCTCTGTACATCGACAGTGTTGAGATGACACTGATGGATAAACGATGGTTTAGGCAAAACAAAGCGCCCTATCATCCAGAGAACACATTCTCCCGATAGATTTTCTAAGTTTAGCCCTCATAAAGATTCAAAGTTTCCGCTCTGGAATCCTACACAGGTCGGACCATGTTACCTCCTTTAAGTTGACTATCAGCTTCCTAAGGATCATAGATGCCTTGAAGAGCTACTTTTTTTCACTATGCTGGGGGGGAGCGGGGGGGAGGGGGTATGCTATCAGTTGGTTTAAAGGATTGTCACCGGGAGTGATCACGTCCTTCACAGATTTCAAATAATTATTCATGATAATATTACTAGTGCCTAGAACCCCTAGAAGAGTTCACAAGCCCTATTACAGATTAGTCAGAAGCAAAATGAGAGCCTAAGTTTGTTCATGACTTGATTCCAAAACAAAAATGTTGGAAGTGTGGGACCTATAATCCACAATAGCACACGTTGCTCTGGCTCAAAACTTGAAAGAAAGATCTTTTCCCTATACCTCAGGCCTTTAGCGACTAAAAATCTCAGCTAGCCAACAATCTCATCTCGGTTGAGAAGTATAATTTCACACTAGCATAGCTGACCGAGTGGTCCCCACTGAACACATCCTTATATAGAATACCAAAAATAACTTGTAAAAATCTCATTAAAGCAAGGCAAGCATGTAATTTAATATATTGTATCCTCAACTCTATAAATAAGGGGATCAAGCTAATCAACAATTCAGATTACTATTCATTATTGTGCACTTATCTCTCTCTCTCTCTCTTTCTCTCTTTCTCTCTCATATCTTACTCTCTCTCATATCTTACGCTCTATTCTTTGGTCTTGATTCATGAAAAAATCAAGATGTAACATTTCAACACTTTATATAAACTATGACATATTTAGAATATAGTGTTATGGTCTTTTGTTTATTACTGGTTCTTTGTATGCTTCTCATTCAATAAAAAAGAATATCTCTACTTATTGTTGCACAACATTTTTTTTTGTGTGTGGTATCATTGTATCCCAACCTTAGAACAAGGTCATACTGTCAATCTCCTCTCTTCTTTTATCTACATCTCTAGTCAAAGCCCTTATCCTACCTTTTACTCTCACACTGAATTACTGTTTAAAATTTTGGAATATAACTGCTAAGCATTTATAGTATGCAAATTGCTTCAGGGCTATTCAATTTTTTAAAAAAACTGAAAGATATTTCTTTGAAAAACTAATTTATAACATAATAACTTTTCAAATTAAATCTCTTGTTAAAAACACCAAAGCATTTAGCTCCCACATTGATCATGAAGGCATCATTCTCCACATTCTTACTATGCTGGCACTGTCATTCCATAAATTCAAATAACAACTAGAACAAAACTCACACCTATTTCCATTAAATATATCTAACTCCTTGTTTGTAATGAAAAGAAAAAGCTGTTAGAAATGGTGGAGCCTGATCCACTATGATTGGGCGGTTACTTTACTTTGGAGAGTCACAGCTCTTCACAACTAACCACTCCCGCCTTCTTTTTTGTGAAGTGAAACTTCTCTTCGCTCCCTCCTGTTTTTGTGAAGTGAAACATCTCTTCTCTCCCTCCTGTTCGTGATAAAAGCTTTGGATGACTCTCCTTGGGTTCAGAAGTCACGCTTTGAGTTCTTCTTTGGTTACCTCAGGATAGAGGAAGGTTTCCTCGGGGAAGAGGAAGAGAAGTGCAAAGAGGAGCAGTTCCTTGCGGCAGAAGGAAGAAGAAGGAAGAAGAAGAATATTTTTTCCCTAGTATTTTTTTTGGTGGCTTGTGGCAAAAGAGAAATTGAGTTTATTTTTCTTGTAAGTTTGTCTTCTTTTGTGGCAAATTCTTGTAAGTTTGTATTTTTCTTGTAAGTTTGTCTTCTTCGGCGTATCTCGGTGTAGAGTTTTCTTCAGTGTATTTCGGTATAGAGAGAGAAGAAGAGAGAGCAACAAAGTGTGAGAGATTCCTCTTGTAAGTCGAGATAATCGACTGGTGTAAATTCCTCAAGTAGTAAAAT